GCACATATGCTGCCTGTATTGATCTTCTTATGTGTACTTTTTAAGAGTAGTATTGAAGGGTGCCTGGGTGGCTCAGTTGGTTAAGCGACTGCCTTCGGCTCAGGTCATGATCCTGGAGTCCAGGGATCGAGTCCCACGTCAGGCTCCCTGCTCAGCAGGGAGTCTGCTTCTCCCTCTGACCCTCCTCCCTCTCATGCTCTCTGTCTCTCATTCTCTCTCTCGCAAATAAATAAAATCTTAAAAAAATAAAAAAATTAAAAAAAAAGAGTAGTATTGAGAAATAGTAAGGAACGCATCCAACATAATGATTCATTTTAGTGAAACTGTAGTATGAGGGAAAGTTCCGTTTTCAAGGGTGTTCACTCTTAAATAAAAGCAGTTGTCAGGAGAAAGGTACTGTCTGTGTGACCTGGTTGTGGTTTGAGCGCTGGAACGTGGACTGAACAGAGCTGTGTCTGGGGCTTCTCTTCGTAGTTTTCAATGGTCTGTGAAGAGAAATTCTTTGGCAAGTTGCCTCAAACTGAAATATGTCTTAAGATTTTTGTCATAATAAAGATGGGCGCCTGGGTGGCTCAGACGGTTAAGCGTCTGCCTTCGGCTCAGGTCATGATCCCAGAGTCCTGGGATCGAGCCCCTCATCGGGCTCCCTGCTAGGCGGGGAGCCTGCTTCTCCCTCTGCTTCTCTCTCTCTCTCTCTGTCTCTCATGAATAAATAAATAAAATCTTTAAAAAAAAATTTTTGTAATAATAAAGGCAATTCAGAATGTATTTTTAATCTTATCTCAGAGGTGAAATGTTATATGTGTGTTTTAATACTGCTTTTGTCAAACAAGTGATACTTCCAGCAGGAAAACAGTATTAGGTGTGTGCTTGTGAGCTACAAGAGAAGCATGGTCTTTGGGTGGCTGACTAGTCCTGTTTCTTTTACCTGGGACACCTTCCCAGTGTCTGAGGACGCCTCTCCTTCCTGCATGTGCACTGTACCCTCCACTGTGTTCTCTTTAATGACTTAAAGAGTCCCTGCAGACAGCTGACCTGAATTTATGACTCGGGTTGGACAGGTCGCCCTTTACTAAGTAACTCATAGAGTTATCTCAGCTAAATAAAACTTAGTGGGTAATTTTTAATATATCCCAGTATACATGAAGAACAGATTACTTCTTTACCTTTTAGCAATAAAGCTCCAAACTAAATAACCTTCAGTAATTTATAAAAATGTTTAATAATTTGTTTTCCTTTTGCCTATTGAATGGTTGTTTGAAATAAAATTGTTTCAAAGTTAACTTGAAATATAACTTTTGAAATACGTAGCCATTAAAATGGTGTTTCAGAAATATATATATATTTTTTTTTCTGTGGAAAGATGATAATTATAATCTTAAGGAGAAAACTATTATAAGACAGTATACTGGGAGGACCCATTTCTGCTTACGTGTATCCACATAGTATCTGGGGGATTTATCTCTGGGCATTAAGTTTGGTTATTTCTGGGAAGATGGATGAAATGTTGCCAATGCTCTTAGACTATATTGTTGTGTTGCTCTTAAGAAAAAAGAGCAAACGAGACATACATTGAAAATATGTAATTTCTAAAAAAAGAGATTAATAAAATAAAATAAAGAGATTAAACAGACAATCTTGGGGCGCCTGGGTGGCTCAGTCGTTAAGCGTCTGCCTTCGGCTCAGGTCATGATCGCAGGGTCCCGGGATCGAGCCCCACATCGGGCTCCCTGCTCCGTGGGAAGCCTGCTGCTCTCTCCCTCTCCCACTCCCCCTGCTTGTGTTCCTGCTCTCGCTCGCTCTCTGTCAAATAAATAAAATCTTAAAAAAAAAAATTAATTTCTCAGATTTCTTAGGTGCTAAGTTTTAATATTTATATATAACATAATTTTAAGAAATCTTATTGCTATCAGTAAAACTATACTAGATAATTCATTTTTTTAAAAGAACTCAGTTTCTTGAGGCACCTGGGTGGCTCAGATCGTTAAGCGTCTGCCTTTGGCTCAGGTCATTATCCCAGCGTCCTGGGATCAAGCCCCACATCGGGCTCCTGGCTCAGAGGGGAGCCTCCTTCTCCCCCTCCTCATGCTCTCTCTCCGTAGCTCTGTGTCTCGAATAAATAAAATCTTTAAAAAATAAAAATAAAAGAACTCAGTTTCTTGATGGAACAGAAATAAGGCAAGCAAATACTACCTTCTAAATTCTTTTTTTTTTTTCCATAGCTTTCTTCTCTCTGTGTTTTACCTGTGGTTGTTTGGACATCCTTCATAGTATATAAAGACAGATTTAACACTCTCTACGTGTTGGGTGTGGCCAGCATTTTAAGTATCTCAGAGATGGGCCCGCAGTCCTGTCTTCCAATACAGCTCAAGTGCCCAACTGGGGAGTCCTTTTGTTTTGGGAGTGGAAAGTTTAGGTGGGAATTTGCTTAGACATTAATGACAGAGATTCAGCATGTTGGAGAACAAGGTGTTTACATTTCTGTGACTACTTTTGAGACTCACCCAGCTGAGCTTTCTTAAGAATGAGGGTCATGTTGTTACCACTTTGTGCCAGCACGACTTGTGACAGACCTAACCCCCTCCTAGAATCATCATTATGTCTGAGCTACAGCCCTTTCACATCCTGAGGAGCACAGATTGCTTGTGTCCTCGGTGGCATTGCAGAGCGGGTGGACGGAGTGATGTAAGAGACTCTTCGTGGCCGAGGTTTCAGGATTCCCAGTCAACTCCACACACACTTTCCAGCTCTTGCTGGTTTGTAAATGACTGTGCTTTTATGGCCATTTGGACTTCTCAGAATGCACCGCCCTAAAATGGGATTGGATTTTTTAAAACCAGAACTCCATAATCCCTATTGTGTACTCAGAAAATGCCAATATTGGGGCGCCTGGGTGGCTCAGTTAAGCGTCTGCCTTCGGCTCGGCTCATGATTCCAGGGTCCTGGGATCGAGCCCTGCATCGGGCTCCCTGCTCGGCGGGGAGTCTGCTTCTCCTTCTCCCTCTGTCTACCACTCTGCCTACTTGTGCTCCCTCTCTGTCAAATAAATAAAAAAAAAAAAAAAAAAAAAAAAAAAGATTTACTCGACATTACAATAAACTTGTTTTAAAAAAAATAAATAAAAAAATAAACTGTTCATTTAAATTAATACACTCCTTGTAAAATGTAGTCTGTAACAAATACCATATATTCCATTCACTGTAAGAGTTACAGTAACTATGACAGTTACATGCTGGGGATGCACACCACAGAGTTTTTTGTGAGACCATCCGCGGTCGTTGTTGATGGCTGTTTCTTACGAAGAGAAGTAGAAGCGGTCTTGGGAGTTCCCAGGGGCCAGTGGCTGCACCGCTGAGGAGACAGAAGAGCCCTCTGGGACTCAGAAGCCCATGCTTGTTCTCGCCACAAGCTGGCTTTACCCCTCGGGGGTAGAATTCAGGCCCTGAGCTCTCTTCCACCACGAAAATGAACGATTCAGTGTTAGCTCCAGCGTCCCACAGAGAGTATATGATTTGCAGATATTTAAAACGTGCAATTCTGTCCTCATGGCATTTTTTATCTGCATGTTTTCATTCTGGGATCATTCCTAACACACCCTCTACTTGCACTGGCAATGTTTATATCCTCTGGTTCTGCTCACCTAAACCCCCTGTTTCTGCTCTTCTGCTTTCTTGTTTCTTCTACGGTGATTCTAGAGTAAGGTAACACTCCTTTCTCAGAGCCATGTTTTCCTACTATCCTAAACTTTTTTTACTGTGGTTTAGTCTCATAAGTTTGAAATTTAATTTTTGATTCATACACTTTTTTTTTTTTTAAAGATTTTATTTATTTATTTGACAGAGACAGAGACAGCGAGAGCAGGAACACAAGCAGGGGGAGTGGGGAGGGAGAAGCAGGCTTCCCGCCGAGCCGGGAGCCCGATGTGGGGCTCGATCCCAGGACCCTGGGATCATGACCCGAGCCAAAGGCAGTCGCTTAACCAACTGAGCCACCCAGGCGCCCCTGACTCGTACACTTTTTTTTTTTTTTTTTTAAGATTTATTTGAGAGAGAGAGGGAGAGTGTGGGGGGGAGGGGCAGAGAGAGTCTCAAGCAGACTTCACACTGAGCATGGAGCCCAATCTCACAACCCTGAGATCACGACAAAAGATCAGCCGACTGCGCCACCCAGGCGCCCCTAAACTTCTGCCCTTTATCCACAAAGATTTTTAGTCTTTTTTTTTTTTTTAGATTTTATTTATTTGACAGAGGGAGAGACAGCCAGAGGGCTTAGACCTTTAAAAGATACTTTTAGATCTGAATTTATTTGAGATGCTAGTTAAGCATTAAAAAACACATCTTTATGTGTTTGTTTCAAGAATGGTGACTTAAAATTAGTAAGTATTTAAAAACTTTTAGGGCGCCTGGGTGGCTCAGTCATTAAGCATCTGCCTTCGGCTCGGATCATGATCCCAGGGTCCTGGGATCAAGCCCCGCGTCGGGCTCCCTGCTCGGCGGGAGGCCTGCTTCTCCCTCTCCCACTCCCCCTGCTTGTGTTCCTGCTCTCGCTGTCTCTCTCTCTCTGTCAAATAAATAAATAAAATCTTTAAAAAAAATAAAAATAAAAACTTTTAAATGTATGATTAATAATAGTATTAGTACCATATAATATTATAGCATATTAATATAACACATACCCAGAGGGTGAGCAAACTCAGCTGTGCTTTAGAGCAGCCCGTCTCTTTCTCGTGGGGTGGACCTCCCGTCCCCAGCTCAGGACTCCCGAGCTCTGGAACAGCGCTTGTGGCCTGATGCCTTCTAGAGCTCACGGGCAGGAATGTTTCCCAGTCACCCCCACCCCCAGCAAGCAGCCTGGTGCAGGAAGCATGCTATTCGTGGGCTTCATACAGACATTTTCTGAATTATATACTGTCATCAGTTTATAGCTTTCTTGAATTTTGAAGAAATATGTTGAATGAATATCTGCTTATTCTCACTTATTTTTCCCCATTCCCTTTTTAGGCTTCTCTACAGTTTAGCCTTTAATGCCAGGTTTCTGAGACATCTTTGGTTTCTCATCTCTTCTATGACAACACAGATGATCACAGGGTATGTATCACATGGACTTACAAATTGAGCTTATGTACATGGAAAGTGGCAACCTAATTAAAAATATTCTAAGATGGTATTTTAAAGTACTACTTATTTTATGTAAGAAAAATTCTAGATGGTCTCAATTTCATAAGAAGGAGAAATTAATGCCTAATTTTACAGTTGTTTATCTGTATACATTAAGAGTATGGCTTTATCTGAGAGTAGATTTGTTTTTAATAGCCTACTCATTTTTTTAAAACCGTATGACTTTCATATGTTTTTGATAGTGAAAACACAGAGTTGAAGCAAATTTAACCCCATTATAGACTTTAAAACATGTTAAATGTTGAAGAAATTGGTTTTTGGAACTTTTTATTTATGTAATTTGATTTTTCTTATATGAATCATTATGTAACTTGAAGTCTGGAATCTTTAATAGGCATATTTTAACTGAATGTGAACTAAACAGAAAATTTAATATTCAGACGTCCTTTGTGGTGAGCTGACCTAGCCTAGTGCCTCGTTGAATTCTCCTCTATCCGGAGTCCAAGCTAACTCCTCGCTGCTGTAATAGGAAAAGATGAGTGTGTGACTCCGGTAACCAGAGACTAAACTTCCAAAATACAACTAACTATATTAGTAATTACAGAGGTCTGCAGTCCAACGAAGGATGACACCTCTCGCCCAGTGTCTCTTAGGGCAAGTTTTAGGGCAAGAGTTTGGAAGGGAGCGTCCTTCTGTCTTTTTGTCTGTCTCCCCCTCTCCCCCCACCCTCTCCCCGCCTCCATCCCTTCATCCCTTTCTTTGCTGACAGGTGGTTGAAGGAATTTCTGGTGCACGAGGGTGGGGTGTCCAGACTGAACACACGCTGATTGGGTCTGTGGCATGTCAGACGGGGGTGTGCAGAGAGGACACTCACGCTGGTGCTTTGTCTCACGGCCGCTCTTCTGCAGCAGGAGGGGGTATTCGGGTCATCTGCACAAACTCGTCTTCTAATAAAAGGGAATGTCGGTTTTTGAGTAGCATCACTTTGAGTGACGTGCTTGGTTTTCTTCCTTTAATGTCCGTGCCTCTGAAGTGAGTTACTGATGCCACAGCGGCTGTGGGCACTTGGAAGGGAGAGGAGCAGGGAGAGGCAGCAGGGACATGCCTTCATGTCCAGAAAAGTCCTTTTGCACCCTTTCATTTTCAAATTAAAATGTAAGGTTTTTGTGTATGTTTTGTTTGTTTTTCTGGTGCTTTTCAGCCACTTATGACGATGCCGGCCTCAGCCTATGACAGGTTTGTTTAGTGCAAAAGATCAGGGATCATTGGGACAGGAAATTATCATTGGCCTCAGAGTGTTTCAGCTTAGCAACTCAGACCCCGCCACGGCTCTGCCTGATGATTGCCTGTTTGTTTATGGCGTTGGTCTCTTGGTAAGGAAGTGGAGTCACAGTGTGTGAAGGAAAAATGAGGTATTGTTAATTATATTAAACTATTGGTATTACTTTATAAGTTTATAAAGTTATACAAATTTTTTTAAACTCATTATTTCTTAAAAACAATTTGAGAATTTGGGTTTCACTTTACTTATTTGATTAAAGTCCCTCAAGAAATGTATGATGGGATATATATTAGGATTGTATCAATACAATGTAAGTTTCTTGAGTTTACTATTGGAATAAGATTTCAAATTGAAATGCCTCATTTTTCTGAAACTGGCACTGAGTTAATTTGGAAATAGTTTCATTAACAGGACTTACCCTGGGACTTGTAAGTTCGAGCGAGCATAACGGTCATCATAGGAGCGTGAGAAAGCGTGCATTTCCTTGTTGAGCCCTGTGACGCGCTGGTGGCCTGGGTTAGAAGCCCAGGGCTTGTGACCTCCCAGGCTCCGGGGTGGTTGGGGTGCAGCTGAACATGCAGGAGCATGTGGACTGCTGGTTCGTCTTCGCTGTTGGACATCCCGTTACCAGAGCTTCTCACGAGCTGGCACGGGGCCTTCTTGTCTTTAACTCTGTGTAGACTCTTTTGACTATGAATTGCCCATTTCTTGTCACACTGACACCAATAGTAAGTAGTACTTATGGTAGTCTAAGTAGTACTCTTAAAATTCTTTCTCAACAAGAAAGCATTCGGTAGCAACTTCTGTAGGAGAGAAACTCTTGTGGAAAGGGATGTGGAAAGGGATGGGTTGCTGCAAACGCGGCGTGGGAGCCGTCCTGCGGAGGCTGTGTCCAGAGGCGAGCAGTCACCTGTGGTCTCAGGGATGCTCGCGTACCAGCCAAGTCTCCGAGTTCTGAAGCAGTGTCTTTTCCATTACAGTAAATTGTGGACTTTTTATTTGCTCGTAAGTCTTTGAGATTGACGTGTTTTCAGAGGAATATTTGAGTCCATGTTTATGGCAGGAAGAGTGGCCAGCAAAGAATCAAGGAACATAAGCTTCCTTTACCTCTCTGCTGGAGGAGACCACAGGCACACATCTGACCCTCCTGTCATTTAAATGACATTTTCCGTCATTTAAATGAAAATGATTCATTCCTTCTGTTTACCTTATGGGGGTTAAAGAGAAACAGTAAGCTAAGGCTGAATAATGGCCTCATCGTGCCTTAGGGAACCCCAGTGTGAGAGCATTGAACACTGGACACGTATGTGCCTAACTGCTGGTGATGGTTGAGTACCAGGGCTGGTGACAGGTGACAGCAGGAGGCTGGCTTGCCACTCTTCTGTAACTCGACCTGGACCGTGTCCCCTGAATAGCATTCGCTCATCACTCTCCTCTATTGTTTGTGTGGTTCTGCGAGGGAACCAAGAGATACAGACCATTTTTACTACTATCAGTGAAACATGACATTAAACTGTTCTTCTTCTGTATGTCAGCACAATTTTGTTGGGTGACTGGCCCGGTGCTAGGCTTGGTGGGGAATAACTCAGGAGGTAGAGGAGGGCTCCTGCCCTCTCAAGACTCGCCAGTTCAAAGGGAGCCCCCCTGCCTCTTTTATCCTAACATAAAGAGCCTTTTTCTGTCGTCCTGGCTTTGGCCATGAGGTAGGACAGTTGTACTTTGTCCCTTTTTATATGTCCTCACTGCGTTTTTATTTTGGACAGAACACTTTCATCCATTGCTCCACTCCGCTCATGTAAGTGCTGGGGCGGCACAGGGCAGTAAGGGCGCGTTCAGGATCGGGATGCGTAGAAAGATGGTCAGAGTACGTTTCTTCTGCACGACAGCAGAGTTCAGGCTACACATCTGGGTCCCTGTCCTCACAGCCCTGTTGGTGGCAGTGCTCTCCCCTGAAGTGGGCCCCATCGAGATCTAAAGCTCCAGGTGGCTCAGGCCCGCCCACCAAAGCCACACTAGGAATAAAAGGACATTTGCCTGGCTTTTACTTCTGCCTTGCTCTCTCACATAACTTTTGGCAATGGTGGGCAACCAGTTGATAATTTGTGGGTCCTTACTCCTGGTCATAGCGCATCTAATCTATAACTGTGGTTTTGTAGAAATAGATATTGAAGGTATGAAGATCAGAGAGTGATCTTGCCTACAACATTTGCTAGCTCAGGACGGATAGGAAATGCTGTAGGGGACCAGGGGGCTTTATAGATTCGAAAGAGCTTACAGGTGAACCTCTGGTTACTGAATGTTCAACAAGACAAGGAACCACATTTAACCAAGGGAGAAAGGGAACAGATTCTAGGTGGGAGAAGTAAATTTAATAGCTCACAGCTCTTAACACGTGAGAGAGACGACAGGGCTCTCTAAAGATCGCCCTACTTTTTAGAGCTATTCTAGGATGTCTCAGGACTCCTGGTAAAAGTGGGAGCGGTAACAGGAGCTGGTAAAAAATGTGGCTAATAGAAACAAGGTCCAGGGGTGCCTGGGTGGCTCAGTTGGTTAAGCGACTGCCTTCGGCTCAGGTCATGATCCTGGAGTCCCAGGATCGAGTCCCGCATCGGGCTCCCTGCTCGGCAGGGAGTCTGCTTCTCCCTCTGACCCTCCTCCCTCTCATGCTCTCTGTCTCTCAAATAAATAAATAAAATCTTTAAAAAAAAATTAAAAAAAAAAAAAGAAGAAACAAGGTCCAGTATACAAGAGGGGAAACTATTCCTGAAAGTTTTATCAAGGTTCAACACTCAACAGTTCTGAATGTTCCTAAATATAAGTAGCTGGATAAATTTTTCATGAGACCAGCATGATACTTTGTTAAATATGTTAAGTAGAGAGGGGGGCGAGGGGGTGGCCTTCCACATAAAAGTGGCATTACTTACTATAACCCTCTGTCTGGGGACCACCGGCACACGCTCAGTGACTGCTTTCGTCCGGGTGATCGTGGTGGCAGGAACACTAGGAAAGAGTGCTGGCTTGGTGTCCTGCTTTCTAACTTGAGCTGTTTATGAACCCATATTGTTAGAAGGACTTTACCTTCCCTTTAAGTAGTTTGATTGCTAATACGAATGTAATTTTCCCTGATTATGTTTGTCTGATGTCATAATTCATCCCCAAATCAAAACTAACCTTGGGCGCCTGGGTGGTTCAGTTGGTTAAGCGACTGCCTTCGGCTCAGGTCATGATCCTGGAGTCCCGGGATCGAGTCCCGCATCGGGCTCTCTGCTCGGCAGAGAGTCTGCTTCTCCCTCTGACCCTCCCCCTCTCATGCTCTCTCTCTCTCATTCTCTCTGTCTCAAATAAATAAATAAAATCTTAAAAGAAAAAAAAAAATTAAAAAAAAAAAACTAACCTTAAAATCATTTTTTTCTGCCATTTCAAGGTCTATGGTGCCGCTGCTCCAGGTGATCTCTAGGGGTTCTCCGATGTCTTTGGAAGACTCCAGTCGGATCATCCCTCTCTTTTACCTGTTTAGCTCTCTCTTCAGTCACTCGCTAATTTCTATACATGACAATGAATTCTTTGGAGATCCCATAGAAGGTAAGAGTTTTGGTTTTTGTTGGCTTCATGGCCTCTGTTTTCACAGGTTAGATAGAGAGGTTTTATTTTAATGTGTTAAGAAATGAAAAAAAAAAAAACAAAACAAAACCCAAGTATGATAGAATATTGGATTATGTTTTCCAGTTGTAGGTCAAAGACAATCATCAATGATGCCTTTTACTCTTGAAGAGCTGATAATGTTGTCTCGCTGCCTTCGAGATGCCTGCCTAGGGATCATCAAGTTGGCTTATCCAGAAACAAAACCAGAAGTTCGAGAAGAATACATTACAGCGTTTCAAAGTATTGGAGTTACAACTAATTCTGAAATGCAACAATGTATACAGATGGAACAGAAACGATGGATTCAGTTATTTAAGGTATAGAGTATATGGGGTTTTTTGTTTGTGTGTGTGTGTGTTTTTACTGAGGTCAAATAATGTACAAATGTGTTCTGACTTGACTCATAAGAATAGAAGTACAGGCTTGTTTTACGCATAATTTTTAATCTGCAAAATTTTTTTAAATGAAGAAAAGTTCATTTTCATTTTACTTTTGCCTTCCTTGAAACCCTTGTTTTTACATTGTTACATGCATCTTTTATAAGTTGCTCTAAGTACTTAGACAAAATGAATTACAAATAAAAATTTAAAATATTTTCATTTTTCACTAAACGATCTCTTACAGATTTTATTTTTTTAATTTTTTCAGAAATTGATTAGCAAAGGTGGGGGATAAGGTCATTAATGTAATGCAAGTTGCATATAAATTATTTTAAAATATCTTCACTTTTAACCATGCAGAAAGAGAAGTGATGAGTTACTGTGGCTGGAGCGCTGGCAGGAAGTCACCACCGCTGAGACTGTAACTGTGGGGTAGAAAAAAAGAAAAGAAAAAGGGTGCTTGACTTGCCATGAAATTTCTGCAGCAAACACATCTAGTCAGCTAAAATCGCTCATTAAAGGAGTGAGAGCAGAAGAAGTGCATTTTCCAAATTGAATGCTGGATTTACAGTCCGTTTAATACCCGCGACCCCTCGCACACTAATGTGCAGTCCGAGTCATCAGCTGTCCCTTCAGGTCTTTTATCACTGCTTTTGTCAAGCTATCTATTTAATTGAAAGAAGTTAATTGAATGAAAATGATCAACTAAGCTTGTATTAATATTGCTAATGGAACTTTCTTCTTGGCCATGTTTGGAGAAAGATGTCAAGCTAGACTTTAGGAAAGGCCCATTAATGCTTGCACTTAACCTGATGGGCTAATTAAGGACTGCTTATTCATCCGACGAGCGCACGATAGTCTCTATCCAGCCCATTCTGCCTGATTTTACAACACATTTCACTTATGAGCATGAGCATTAGTAGCAGTGAGAGTAACTGATAATGTTTTGATTGCACTGAACACAGTACTAATGCATCATTGAATTTATAATTTGTGCAGATTGATGTAATATATGTTTGCACAATTTATTTTAATTACCTATCTCTGTATTTCCAAGTAAACTTTAAAGAGCACATGTTGAACCCTTAATATATCCATTCTTAAAGATTGACAATTTTGCAACTTTTTAAGTTAAAAATAAACCAGCTAACCTATTTCAAGCTTATAATTCTTAGGTAAACTTGGCTGGATCTGTGTTTGGTGGTGGCATATGTGTTTTTCTTCAAGTATTTAATTAAACTCTGGGATCTTTGTTAATAAAGCTTTCCATTATGTAGGGTATCGGGTTTTGTGTACAGTATCAGATAATCTCTTGTTTTATAGCACCTATTGAGAATTTCATAATTTTCATATGACAGGCTTATCTTCAGGACCTAGGAATCTCAGGATTTAATAATGCTATAGAAGGTATTTTCCCCTGGCCCTATTTTATATTACTTAAGCATTAAATGAAAATTTTGTAGTGGATGTTTTCTTATGCCTCAGAATGACTCATTACCACTTGATTAAGGATTGAAGGTTTTAGGAATTAAGGAGAAGGTCAACTTTTTAGGTAATGGGATTGTTTTACGTTTGAAATTGAGTTGTTACAAAGACTTTCTGAGTTTAGGACAGAATTGTTTGAAGACAATTTTTTGAACAGGATTCCTGTTTTTTGGGGGGTAAAAAAACAAAAAACAAACTTTTTGATGCTACGTGATGGTAAGCTGAGCCCTAAAAATAATGAAGAATCAAGGCATAGTCTTTGTGTTGTAGAGAATGGTTCAGCTGCTACTGTTTTTCTTTTAAGAAAAAATTATCTTTAATACGAGATAAAAAGAATCCCCCTCAGTGGTTCCTGTGTCCCAGACAGTATTGTAAGAGCTTTACGTATACTGAGTCATTGAACATAGTAACTCTGCCAGGAACGTGCAGTTATTACTCCATTTTACAGATGAGGTCCCACAGCTGGGGGGCTGGCAGGGATAGAGCTGGCCCTTGGACTCAGCTGCTCTACATCCCCCTCCGAAAAGTACTAAATACAATGTTAGCATTTTTTGTGTATTTTAGTGCCACATTTGTGTTGAGGAACTCAAGGTAGAATCAACCGAAGAAGGTAACAGCATTTCACCAATGATTTCCTGCCTTCCACTGATTTTGACAGAATTGCAAATGATGAGACCTGACTCCTTCAACCGCCAACAATTTTCATTTTTCAGTCTTATGATGGTCCTTTCAAACTAATTTCTGTGAGAGGCTCTGTTGGCTGGTCACAGAACATAGAATTTTAAGTGGATAGAGTCATCTTTCTTTGTCACTATAAGAATTGAGGTCAGTTGCTAAGCCCTGCATTGACACTGCTAAAACAGTTTATGCATTTATCAAATTTATAAACTCCTCTTGAAGTGTAATTTATAGCTATAATTACTTTAGCCCTGTGAGGAGATAGGAAGTCCTGTCTGATATGCCTTTGTGTGCAGCTGTCAGCCTAAATAGGAGTCACCTGCAAGGAACAAGGTGCATCGGGGAGCAGGAAGGAGACTCTTCATGCCTTTCTCATCTGCACATGTCTGTATGGGGAGAGAGAGGTCTGTGTTGTGAGTGATGTTCACTTTCTCAGTGGCTGAGTTCATTTTTCAGTTCCAGAAAGAATTTTTTAAAAAGTGATAATTAAAACAACCACACCCTAACGTAACCCTCCCATGCCACCGTTAGGTAGAGTGTTCAGCGGAACAGTACACCCTTTGTTCTCGTAGAGCTGCCTCATGCCCTTTTCCGTCTTTGAAGGTTTTTGTTTCTGACTACTAAATAAAATGGGTACTCTAAGAAATATTTTTGTAGTGTTTTAAACATCCTGGAGAATCCTGTTGTCTTTAAAAATACACCAATTTTCACAAGTAGTAACTAAGGGCTTTATAAAACTTGGTTCACCTTTGACGTGGGTAGCCTGCCTCAGACGCTTCACGGCCTCTGCAGATGCGGGCATCGCTCTCGCCAGTTCCTTGAACACTCGGGCTTTATCCCGGGAATGCTGATGCCACCCCATGCTGGCGACTCGTGAGTGGTGTTGGCCCAGCCCTTGCTCTCTCAGCACTTTTACGTGGTGAAAAAGACAAACGTTCAGCTAATCACATTGAGATAAACGAGATCAGTACCATTAGTGCACATGAGACGGAAAAACAACTGCTGAGGTCACTCGAAACTTTTCATTTACTCTAGGAAAACGGTCATTCTGGTCTGCGAGATGATGCTCTTGGAGCTGGTGCTTTATTGGTGTTTCTCGTATTTCATTTCTATATATTCTTCATTATGAACTCAGATGTGTAAAAAATTCCTATAGGATTTACATTTACCACATTGTACATTCACCACACTTAAGTACCCATAGATTATGTGCTATATCCTGTACTTTGTATTGAACTTCTTGAAGAATTACCTAAGATGTTTGATTTTACTTACCATATTTTACGTATACGATTTAAGATAAAAAGAGATTATTAGGGGCGCCTGGGTGGCTCAGTCGTTGAGCATCTGCCTTCGGCTCAGGTCGTGATCCCAGGGTCCTGGGATCGAGCCCCACAAGGGGCTCTCTGCTTGGTGGGAAGCCTGCTTTTCCCTCTCCCACTCCCCCTGCTTGTGTTCCCTCTCTCGCTGTGTCTCTCTCTGTCAAATAAAATCTTTAAAAAAAAATAAGAACTAAGCATTTAAAAAAAGATTATTATTTTATATTAAATGTGATTTAGTCTTGCAGTTGCCTTTCACAATTTGGACTATATGTACTTTTTTGGGGTTACAATAATTTAACTGAATGTCAAGAATCTCCATTCAGAAATGTGAGACTTTACTCAGTAGCCTTCAGCCATTTAATGTACATACAATGCTGATTATGTATATGATGTAGCCATATGTGGTGCGTAAGCACATCTCCTCGAGTCGCTAGGATTTCGTGTCATCGTTGTAACCAGTGCCCTCAGAAACATACGGGGTCCTGTGAAACAGTGCCTGTTAACTTGCCATCTTGACCTGGGACAGCTGTCGAGGGTGGTTTTTATGAGTGGTCTCTACGTTTCTAAGCAGTCACCTACTTGATCTTTTTAACATTGGATTCAGGGAGCCTGTTTACAAATCTCCTGGGGAATAGTTACAAACAGTTGACTGGTTTCACCTCAAATGAATGGAATTAAATTCGCCATTGCTGCTGCCTCTGCATGACCTTCATCAATAGGAGATTTCAGGATGCAGGGAGGGGTGAAGAACCATAGGCCTCACTGCACAAAGAGGTTACTTTGGGCAGATATTTATAACCTTGGGTCTCAGTTTGCAAAACTGGACTTACCCATGACTTAGGTCTTGTTTAAATCTAAAATTCCTTCAGTTTTGGAACAGTCTTCTTTTTTTTTTTTAAAGATTTTATTTATTTATTTGAGAGAGAGAATGAGAGAGAGCGCGCGCACACGAGAGGGGGGAGGGTCAGAGGGAGAGGCAGACTCCCTGCCGAGCAGGGAGCCCGATGTGGGACTTGATCCTGAGACTCCAGGATCATGACCTGAGCTGAAGGCAGTCGCTTAACCAACTGAGCCACTCAGGCGCCCCTGGAACAGTCTTCTTTAGTAGGCTTATCTGTGCCAGAAAATTTAATAAAATTGACTGAAAGAAAGACTGCCTTCAGATCTCAACACTGCCTATCTGTTGATCCAGTTCAAAATTGTGACCCCGGTTTTCCTTACCTTTTACAATCTTTAGTCAGTTTCTGTAATTTTAGTGGTTACCTCCATATATTTTCCTTCTCGGTACTAAGTATCTGTGTAGAAGTTGAGTATGTGATCCTGAAAATGGGTGCAAAGAAAGGGGTATGATCAAAAGTGTTTTGACATCACAAATGGACTCTGCGTGGGGCGCCTGGGTGGCTCAGTCGTTGAGCGTCTGCCTTCGGCTCAGGTCATGATCCCAGGGTCCTGGGATTGAGCCCCACATCGGGCTCCCTGCTTGGCGGGAAGCCTGCTTCTCCCTCTCCCACTCCCCCTGCGTGTGTTCCCTCTCTCGCGGTCTCTCTCTCTCTCTCTCTCTCAAATAAATAAATAAATAAATAAATAAATCTTTAAACAAACAAATGGACTCTGCGAAATTTTCACAGTTTCTTAAAATTTGCATTTTTCTTTAAAACTTAGAAGAGAACTAGTTTAAATGAGGGAGGAAAGTGTTTTTAGTTGAATTTAAGACATGGGATTTGACATTTCTAAAAGAATTTTTTGGGAATTGGTCCAGGGCTAGTATTGCCAGATTTAGCAAATAAAAATGTGTCACCCAGTTAAATTTTAATTTCAGATAAATAACAAATGCTTTTTTTTTTTTTAAGATTTTATTTATTTATTTGAGAGAGCGAGAATGAGAGAGAGCACATGAGAGGGGAGAGGGTCAGAGGGAGAAGCAGGCTCCTCGCCGAGCAGGGAGCCCGATGCGGGACTCGATCCCGGGACTCCAGGATCATGACCTGAGCCAAAGGCAGTCGCTTAACCAACTGAGCCACCCAGGCACCCAACAAATGCTTTTTTTAGATAAAAATATGTCCTATGCAATATTTTGGATATATTTACATTTTTTTTAAAAGCAGTATTTGTAGTATATTTATACTAAAAAATTACTTGGTATTTTTTTGAAATTAAAATTTAGTGAGGTATCCTTTATTTTCTCTTGTAATCCTGTCCAGGACTCATCTTCAAGGTTTGCTTGCTGTCAAGTCTAACTTTGTAAGACCTGCTTTTTCACAGTGACTCTGTCTGGACAGCTCATCCTTGACACACCTCCTGAGGCCCCTGTCACTTTGTGCCTCCCACTTTTTCATCCCTCCCTCCCTCCCTCCCTCTCTTTTTTTTTTTTTTTTCTTTTTGAAGAGGGTCACTGATACCAGGACATTTATAAGTAATATGTGATTACTTCTTTTTTTATACTTAAAATGTGAAAGTAAGAAAGGGGGTGCCCTGTATTGAAACTTTTTATTTAATTTCACAGTAATTTAAAAGAAGAAAGTTATGGCATTAATTGCTTCATAGATAGTTTAATATTTGTGACCTGTAGAAAATAAATGACCTCATAACCACAGGTTGAAAAGAGATGACTGCCAGGAGGCAGATAAAAGGTTTTATTCTGGAGTTAGGCAGCCCTGGCCCCACCCCTCGGCAAGCCCTGGAGCAAGTCTCTTACCTTCAGCAAAGCTGAGTGTCCCCCACTGTGCGGTGGGGAAAGCCAGTCCACGAGGGTGTCAGCATCCAGTGGGACTATGTGCGTAAGCCCGTGAGTGAATGGGTGCAGTTAAATCAATATGTGTACATACTGGTAAGAAAGCATGTCTTTTGTTAAGAGTTGTGTATTATGTGTAAATGTCAGCCCAGTATCTGTTCAATGTGAGCTTATTTAAAGTACTAATATAGCTGGTTATGAAAGTGGAAAGATGGGCTGTGATATTCTTCATACAAGACGATGGTGCTTCAGTCTCTCTGCTGTTGAAAGAGCAGTTGTTTATTTGGTGTGCTCCGTGTGCACTGACCTGGACTTATCCCAGACAGGATCACACACATAGCAGAGATGTCAGTGCATTAGGTCAGTGACCATACTTTGTTATGACCGTAAAGTTAACCAGATAGAACCCCAAACGGGGCTGTTCTTAATCTACCTCAGACGCACTTGAAATCCGTAATCATAAACCCCTGAGTGAGCACAACAGGGTGTCAAGAGGTGAGGATAACCAACTGCGAGTTAACCTGAGCTCATTTCTGCTGATTCAGAAAGGATATTACTTAGTATTAGGACAGGCTTTCTACAGCTCACTTGGTAAGAAATATCCATCAGTCAGAAAGCTGTATTCTAGATCTTGAGACGTTAGTACTGATGTAGTTTTGTCTGTGTGGCCAAACTGCTCGAGCATTACTTTTTCCTCTGTCCATGGGCATCTCATCCAAGTGGTGTGTCCACATTCTAGTAGTCTAAGGTGTCAACCAAGGGCCTTTTCCCACCCATTTTTGTTGAACACAGAATTTTTGGTATCCCTGAATACCAGGATTTGCATGTCATAAAAGAAACGTTTGTTTGTATTTCTATCGTATATAGATGCCGAATTGTGAAATTTTAAAGGTAAATCTCTATTAACAGTTAAAATTATGCAATGTTGTTTGTCTTGTGGGTATATTTGGTGGAAATTTATTGCATAATCCTAATTTTATTCCTTACCCGTTATATTTTATCCTAATTCCTTATCCAGATTATATTTTACTTGATTAGAGGCAGTGTGTATAGAGGCCTGGCTGACTTTTTCAGAAAACATCATCATAGTCTTACTTTAATTACATAGTAGTTGTGTGATGAAATCCTGTTTGTAAAGGTTTAAAACTTTGGATTTACAATTTTATGTTGGTTTATCACAAAGTACATTTGTATTTAATATAAAGCGTCAGGTCTTTTTTATTGTTTAATTTCTTTTTTAAAGATTTTATTTATTTATTTTGAGAGACCGAGCATGTGCGTGAGCGGGGGGAGGGGCGGAGGGAGAGAGAAAATCTCAAGCGGACTCCACGCCGAGCGCAGAGGCCACTGTGGGGCTCGATTCCACGACCCTGAGATCCTGACCTGAGCCAAAATCCAAGGTTGGACACTCAAAGGACTGAGCCACCCAGGTGTCCCATCATCAGGTCTTTTTTAAATAGGCAGTGCCATCAGTTCTCTTTAGTCATGTATTTTTAAATTTACAATTAATTATTGATCCTAAGTCAATCATCAAATACCTACTGGGTTTCCAGGTAGTTAGTCGGGAGTTTCTTCATCAGGAGCTTCCTGCATAGCCAGGGAGGAACTAATGCTCATTGCAAAAGCAGTAACGAAGCAGTTCAGCTGTGCTGGTGTGGGGAAGCTTTATGAAAGAAGTTAGACGGAGTCTGTGTAGAATTACGGTGAGGGTAGGCCTGACTCCAGAGAGTTACATAAGGAAAATACTGGAATTGTTTTTCTTTTTTTGACAGGTGTCAAAGATCCATCCAGGACACTTTTTTCCCCTCAGTGCTCTTGATAGAGTGTCTTTTCAGAAAAATATGAAATGCTATTACTGTAGGAAAAATTTTTACAAAATTGCTGTATATTTGGAGATTTCCTGCATTATAGCTCACACGAGCTAATACATTTCCAAATTTGTGTTTGAAAACTTCATTACTACCTTCTTTGTAGTCCGCCTTTAACATCTTCCTGATAATTTTCCTCCCTTCGTTGGCACGTGGCTAACTGCTTTGTACTTGAAATTCATTCTTGTGACCACAGGATGAGGTACTTCTCTGTGGCCTGATCTGTGGTGGCCTAGGGCAGGCTTTGCGGCCAGGCCCCCGCACACTCAGGCCTGTGGCGGGGAGCGCGCCCCGTCCTCTGTGGGCTGGTGCTCTTGCTACCTTTGTGCCGGGGTCGTTCCTGAGCTTGTTCCGTGACTTAGCCCTGTGCTTCCTCTGCAGGTGATCACCAATCTGGTGAAAATGCTGAAGGCCAGAGACACAAGGAGAAATTTCTGTCCTCCAAACCACTGGCTGTCAGAACAAGAAGATATTAAAGCAGATAAGGTTTACTGAAAAATCTTTCTAATATGTTTTGTTAAACATATTTTTTCAGCTTTTGTCTTTCTGGGGAGAAGGATAAGTTCTTTTAAATTGTTTCATTTATTACTTATTGTGTAACTAAATATTAACAGTAAGCTTTTTTATTCTTAGGTCATAGAATATATAACAGTATCATTGACTTAAAACATACATCCTGAGTTTATTATTAAACCTAATTTTCTCCTTTAACTACAAATTATATTGGAGCCTCGTGGCTCTTTGTTGGGATTGCAAGAAATTTTGCTTTTATTGGTGTCATAATTATCAATGTGTATTTAGCACTTAAAGGAGATTGAATATGTCCTTGATTTGCTAAATGAACAGAGACAAATTTGAATATTACTGAGATCTAGATCTAAAGTAGATTCAATAGTATAAATATTTTTAGAAATTTAACTAACAAAGATCATGAACTATGTGAATTTTTGACGAATAAGAATTTTCATTCTTGTCAGAAAAAGGCATGATTGTATTCATTTCAAAATCTTGGGGATCAGGGCAGAGAGTGGAGGGTGTAGAAGAAACAAGACCATAGGAACATTCAAGAAAAGAGAGCAGCGGTGTTTTACACCAGGTTCAGATACTGTGTCTGCACGAATCCTGAAGCGGGTGGCTTCTAGCTGTGCCCACTGGTTAGGCCGAGACACCATGCCCCATCCTGTAGTGGTGGACGTCCTGTAGCGAGACCCTGGGGGGCGGGGGGCCTCTGAACAGCACTGCCACCCAAAGGAAACAGCCTTTGGTACGATGGGACGTTCTGTTACTGGAGAGCACGGGAGCCATGGGCGGCCCCAACCGTCCAGACTAGGTGCAGCGAACTGAACCTCAAGTAGGCTTAAATCTGCAAGTTCGTAAATATACAAAAAAGAACTTGATTGGCCATCTTGGTGGGATGCAGAGGAACCACCTGATTTTGAGACTGGCTTGGAAAGAAGAAGTAATCATGCCCTGAGCCTGCCTGCCTTTTATGAACTTCATGTACCTCAGGCTAAGCAAGTAGTGGTGATGGGAGAGCCTTCTCGGTGTATAGTAGCTAATAGTGCATGAGCCGGGGTCCCACAGTCTGCAGGCTGTGAGGAGGAAGCAGTCCAGGCGGTGCCCCTGGGGTGCAGGCCCCAGGGGACCTGCCGAGACCGGGCTGGGGGCCCCCGCGGATGGGGGTCGATCACCGTGCTGCTGCTTGACTCCAGAAGGCGCAGCTATGGAAAAATGGCAGCTGAGCCAAACTGCGTCTGGTGATACTTGATTCCTGCTTGGGCACAGGTTCTTGATCTCATGGCTGACCGCAGCAACCAGACACGTGCCTCTTGAGAGAACACGCTGCCTGTGAAATGCTCTGGCCAAAAGTCCAAGCTGGATGTGATGACACCTCTGGGTGTAATTGCACATTTAGAGGGAAACGGAGGGCCTAGAAGCCCACGTGAACACCGAGGGGACACTGCTAGCAAAATCCGATGGTCGGCAACATTGCTGGACAGCTGACTGGGGCCACAGCCAGGGCTGGGGGAGCAGGCAGAGCCTCGGGCTGAACAGAATGTCCGCGGACCCCAGCCCTCCTGGGGTACTGATGCAGACAAATTAAGTGTTTAGAATTAGGAGACACTGAGTATTTAGTAATAAGAAGAAATTGTTAATTCTTAAAGTGTGATGTGTTTTCATTTGTAAGTGATCATATTATGACAGTTTACTAGATGCAGATATTACACAGCATTAAAGAGAACAAGTAAGATTTCCTTGGGATGTATTAGGGAAAACAGTTACAGTGTGAAAGTGTAAACGGGCAGCCGACCAAGGAGAGAATGCATGAAGAGGACATGAGGTCAAAGAGCAGGACCTGGCAGCGCGTAATGTACGCACAACATCCATGTAGTTCACATGTGGCCAGTAAGAGATCGTGCCGGGGCACGAGGAGGTACTAAGCCAAGTTGCTGGCCCCACAGGTCACCCAGCTCTACGTCCCGGCTTCCAGACACGTGTGGAGGTTCCGGCGGATGGGGAGAATCGGCCCCCTGCAGTCGAGCCTGGACGGTGAGTTCCCTGTGGCCTAGCACGTTTCTCCTTCAGCCCACGGTCATGGGCTCTCGTTGACATACTGGGAAATCCACTCTTTTTGATGTACTGTTCGGAGATTTTTTTTTAACTTTTTTAGTGGGGGGGAGGGGCAGAGCGAGAGAGAGAATCTTAAGCCCAACACGGGACTTGATCCCCACGACCCTGAGATCATGACCTGAGGCGAAATCAAGAGTCAGAGGCTCAACCGACTGAGCCACCCAGGTGCCCCTAGTGTTCTGTGATTTTTGGTAAACATCTGCCTCCGTGATCAACCATATAGAAAAGATTCATCACTCCACAAATTATCTGATGCACCTTTGTAGGTAGCCCCTTCTGACTTGTTTTTTGTCCTGATAGCTTTGCCTTTTCCAGAATGTCTTTAAATGGAACCATATAGTGTGTAGCCTTGTGAGTCTGGAAAGGAAAAGTCCAGGCATACCTCTGAGACCTGGCAGGTTTGGCTCCAGACCACCGCAACAAAGTGAATGTCCCAAAATGAGTCAGACGAAGTTTTTGGTTTTCTAGTGCATGTAAAGGTTAGTGTGCGAGGGCACCTGGGTGGCTCAGTCGGTTAAGCATCTGACTCTTAATCTCGGCTCCGGTCTTGATCTCAGGTCACGTGTTCAGGCCCTATATTGGGCTCTGTGCTGGGCGTGGAGCCTACTTAAAAAAAAAAGAAAAGTTACGCATGCAGTAGCATTGCGTATATACGTACTTTCATTAAAAATACTTTCAGCTAGGGCGCCTGGGTGGCTCAGTTGGTTAAGCGACTGCCTTCCGCTCAGGTCATGATCCTGGGGTCCCGGGATCGAGTCCCGCATCGGGCTCCCTGCTCCGCGGGGAGTCTGCTTCTCCCTCTGACCCTGCCCCCTCTCATGCTCTCTCTATCTCATTCTCTCTCTCAAATAAATAAATAAAATCTTAAAAAAAAAAACCTTTCAGCTAAGAGATGCTGATCATCGTCTGAGTTTTCAGTGACTGGGAATCACTGATCACAGATCACTATAACAAATACTAAGTATGAAAAAGTTTGAAATATCAAAAGAATTACCAGAAACAGAAAGTGAGCAAGTGCTGTTGGGACATGCTGGATGCGGGGTCACCACAGACCTTCAGTTAGTAAAACACTGTGTCTGCGAAGTGCGGTGAAGTGAGGTCACGTGTGCGCAGAACCTGACGGAGGCGTTCCCCTGTTTTGCAGTGGGTTTGGAGTCCCCGCCTCTGTCTGTGTCCGAGGAGAGACAGCTGGCCATCCTGACAGAGCTGCCCTTCGTGGTTCCGTTCGAGGAGCGAGTCAAGGTGTGCACTTTGGTGTCTTTAGAGATTGACTGCGTACTACATCGTTTCAGTGTGAAAGAATTAACACCAACGCAAAAAGCTCTGAAGTTGCTTAGTGCCTAGCTGGTTATATAATTGTTATTTTTCTCACTAGACTGTAACAGTTGACAGTGATTTATAAAAGCTTAGTCCAACCAAATACCTCTGTATAGACTTGAAAGATTTTTTTCCCTTAGTTGTAACTGTAGTTTAAATGCCTATCACACCATTATCCTCTTACAATGGGAGTAGAAGGTCTTTTTGTCTAGTAAATCTTGCATTGTTTTTGAAAATGCAAATTTTTTTTAAAAGATACGCTTCTGTATATTATGTTGAGGTTATTTATTGCAAGTACTACTTTATAAAAGAGTGATGGGCAGGTATCTTAAATTCCTGCCTGGTGATTTTTGATGAGTGTACAAAACTTTGTTTACATTTATCTGTTTTGAGATTTAAAATGTTTTGTTTGTGTTCACCAACTTAGCAAATTTCTAAAAACTACTAGGCTCTATTCTTAAGTAATGGCTTCGAGAGGGTAATTTTAGTCCTGCCCACTTTCTTTATAGGATGAGCAAAAGAGTGAGTTTCTTTTAAAGCTATTGGTGTTTCTTCGTTAAGACCCATCGGCACCCAGGCACAGATGTAACATGACATTACGTAGTTCCTGAGCTCCCTCTACTGGATTTTTAGCATCAAAAAAAATTGCTTAAATTTTATTGTTTAGGGAGATTTTCTTACTAATATTAATATATAGCTTTACAAAGCTATTCTTTTCTCTTTACCACCTGGGATTTTCTAAAGGTTTTGCAAAAGAAAATACTGAAAATATACTACAGCTTGGGATTTTTAAAATTTGTTACAAAATTTGTTATGAAATGGAGGAAAGGGGCAGTATTACAAATACATAAATATTACGCATTTACTGAGAAGGCATAAAGTCCACATTTGATACCTTGGCTTTGAAAATTCGCTTCAGGATTTATGGACATAGAAAAGTTAAGATTTATTTAGCAGTTTTTCCTTTTGTTGCTTATATTTCTAACAAGAAGTCTGTTGCTTCAGATAACCTGACAACTTCCCCTGTTTGTTAGATCTTTCAGAGGTTGATTTATGCAGATAAGCAAGAAGTTCAAGGAGATGGTCCATTTCTGGATGGAATTAATGTCACAATAAGAAGAAATTATATTTACGAAGATGCTTATGACAAACTTTCCCCAGAAAATGGTATATATGATTCTGTGTGTCTGCATGTGGCAGGGGAGGCGAGGGATTATTTTAGAAAAAGGTAGTCTTAAAACATTAGTGTCCGTCATCTTGTTCCATAATGACTTTTTAACAGTGGAATGTACTATGTCAGATTTGGTAGATGTGTATTATCAAATAACATTGACAAATAATTATCCCAACAGGAGCCTTTCAAATACTGATTTTTTTTTTTAAGGCAAGAAACTCCACCCACAAATGTCTGCGTCTAAAATTTAGTTGACAACTTTTAATTCTGAAAATGTTGATGGGCAGCCATCGACATTCTGTATTATGGTATTATGATAATCTATTTATGTATATATTGTAAACTCTAAGCCATATTTAACATATCAGAAGAAACCCCACTGCAGTCCAGACCCCTCTACAGACAGACATGTGCATCAGTGACCGGAGCGAGTCACGCTCAAACAGTGACTTGGATCGCATTTAGAGCTCAGCAACCTGTTTTGTCTCATGTGACTATTTGACACCCAGTGTTAAATGTGTAGTGTTATCATTTATATATTAATAATTTTAACTTCAGAGGATGGTATCCATGATACTGCATGAAATTGTGGCTCGATCAATGCAGGGAATTAACAATGGAAGCTTGGCAGGATCTGGAGCACAGCTTTAGGAGGTGATGGGAGGGTGTCAGAAATGAACAGTTGCCTCTTCCAGGGGAGCAAAACTTCAAGTCATTTTTTTCTTGAAGAGCTGATTGTGCTTTACTGTGGGAGTAACGGAGGGTGGCGAGCATCAGTCACTGGCCCCTTCTCTGTCCCAGGGTTTGTGTGCGAGGGTTTGATGTTCACATGATGTGGTTTTGTCATGGAATCGGGGCTGCAGACACCACCAGCTCAGTCCTGACCCCTGGCTGTGCACTCTCCACTGCACCAGCGTACTCTTGCCCAGCAGAGCACGTTTTAAATCTTCTCTGTGAACCAGGCAAAAATCTGGTACTCTGACTTGCAGCCCAGCGTACTTTTGGAAACCAACTGGGCCTCCCTCCATGGGGATCTGGTCCCCATGAATCAGCTGGTGCAGCTGTTGCGTTGTGTCCCCGCACACTGCGGGGCAGGGTCCTCGTCCATTGTCTCCTTCAACTAGCTGGTGCTCAGTAGGTGTTGGGTTTGCGCTTGAACCTGGGGAAGACTCAGTCGATAGACAAGATGGTAAATGTGCCATCAACTCAGAAGTGTTGAGAGTGGGATGGAGGGGGGGTCGATGCCAGAGGGTTTTATAAAGCCGTGGGATTTAGGAGAGGGAGCAGTGACCGCCGACCGTGTGCACATTCGGTTCAGGCTTGCTTCCTCCACGTGCCAGAGTTGGAATGAGCTCCTCAGCCCAGAAGGAGATGTGTGTATCAGCAATTTTAAATTAACTTTAAAACTATTTCATGTAGATGATTTTTAAAGACGTTACTGTCCAGGGGCGCCTGGGTGGCTCAGTCGGTAAGCATCTGCCTTCAGCTCAGGTCATGGTCCCAGGGTCCTGCGATCCAGTCCCACATCGGGCTCCCTGCTCGGTGGGAAGCTTGCTTCTCCCTCTCCCTCTGCCTCTCTCCCTGCTCATGCTCTCTCTCTCTCTCTCTCTGTATCTCTGTGTCTCAAATGAATAAATAAAATCTTAAAAAAAAAAAAAAGAATATGTAAAGACATTACTGTCCAATTATAACAAGCCTCAAATTTCCTAATGAATCCTTAAACTTAAAGTTATTCAGAAGTTGATCACACCCTAACTCCCCAGGGCGTGCTGATATTTGCATTGAATTTAAGGGAGTTGGAGAAATCTTTTCCTAATATGTATGTTATAATGCTTTACATCTCTGCAAATAGTCTCTAATTCAGGCCTTATTAACATGACTTTTTTAAGCCATGTGTTAAAATTGCTATTTTGCTAGGGAGAGTAGTAAAATTAAATATCATCTCAGAATGTTGCATTTACTTCTGGAAAATTGGTGTGAGGTGCTGTGTTAACTGATCGTTTACACATAATCAGTTAATACGACTGCTCCACGTGCCGTCTCGTCCTCACAGCGCATCTGGCCTTTATGGACACTCATCATCTCGTATTCATGTCTTCTCAGGACGGTTTTCTTCCTCTCTCTTTTTTTTAAGATTTTATTTATTTATATAATCTCCACACCCAGCGTGGGGCTTGAACTCACACCTCCGAGACTGAGCCAGCCGTTTCCCTCAGACTGGTTTTCTGGAGTGTGGATGTTGGCCCCGTGGATGATCAAGCTGGCTGCTGGAGCTCAGAGAGGTGGGGAGCCCAGCAGGTACCGGTGCCCCAGCCCCAGCGCCAGCCCCAGGCCCGGGCTTCCAGGAGCTCTCGTTGCCCCACCCCGCCCCAGTGTGAGACCGGGGCGAAGTGATCACTGTTACTCTCAGGACTGCTGTAGCTCTTGACGTCATCATCCGTTAGCTTGGATGAGAATCCGCTAGAGCTGGCTCTGAACTGTGCTGTAGTCGGTTCCCGAGAGCCTCGCGTGTCTGTGCTTTTGTGTGTGAGTTGGTTTCATTTTGTTTCATTTAACGGGCAGGATTTATGACATTGTTTTCCTGAAGAACAAACTATAATAGGGTAAAATAAAAGTAACATTTTACTTAGGTCCCCCCCCCCCCCACTGAAACCTTAGTATATAAGTAGATATTTTATTTTATTTTATTTTTATTTTTATTTTTTTTTTAAAGATTTTATTTATTTCACAGAGAGAGACACAGTGAGAGAGGAAACACAAGCAGGGGGAGTGGGAGAGGGAAAAGCAGACTTCCCACGGAGCAGGGAGCCCGATGCGGGGCTCGATCCCAGGACCCCAGGATCATGACCTGAGCGGAAGGCAGATGCTTAATGACTGAGCCACCCAGGCGCCCCTATAAATAGATATTTTAAATTTGTCCTTAGAAACAAGTAGTGGCAAGTATCTCAGGCTAGATTTGATTCTGAAAATATTATTATGCTATTGTATATTACCATTCACAGAAATGAGCTTTAGGGAACACAGAATCTCAATTCTAGCCAAATTAGAGGGGTGACTTCTGTGACTGCCCACTGAGTCTGCAAAAGATAATGACACACTCCCGCTCTCCTTGCTGGTGCTACAGGTGGAATGAGGGTGGGAAAGCATGGGCCCTAGTGGAGTGGTTCCCACTTACAGCATTGTACACTTAGAATTTTTACGGAATCTGCTACCTGCTGACCATCAGTTTGAGAAATAATACATACAACAAATGCTTAAAGTTCATCCTTAAAACTGGGTATTAAGAGGAATATGTAAAGGTGAGAAATATCCACTGTATTTTTATGTTGCATCTATAATTATCCGCTTAGATTTCTCTTGGCATTTTACCTAGATCTTGAGATTGAACGTATTTTGTAATCCTATTAATCAAAATACATGCAAATAACATATTCATGGAGTCTAATCAGTAAAAAGCATGTTCTTCATGTAACTATAGTTAAATTTTAAAAATAGAAGAGAATACGGTTTAGTATAAAAGCCTGTGCTTTGTAGGTAATAGACCTATCTTTAAATTATAGCACCCCCTTTACAGTGTTAGCTGTAGGTCTTTAGATACGTAACTCAACCTTCCTTTTACTTGGTTTTCTCACTACAGAATGAGGATAATTCTTTTTTTTTCCTCTTCTTCAAGTTTTTATTTAAATTCTAATTTGTTAATACCCAGTGTAATGCTTGCTTCAGTAGAATGTATTGACTCAGCACCTCCACCCAACACCCAGTGCTCATCACAGCAAGTGCCCTCCTCCATCCCTTCACCCATGTAGCCCCTCCAGAATGGGGGTAATTGTTAACCCAGAAAGTTGTTAAAGGACTTGAAGTAATGTGTGTAAAATTCCAGGTAATTTCTAGCTCGGGGCAAATACTCAGTGGTCATTATTCCTTTACAAAGTACAAGAGCAAGCTGAAACCAGGTGGTTTAGGTCTGTTTGCCTTACTCCTGCGGGAGATGTGGGCGTCAGCACGGAGCTCACCTGGCACAGTGTCTGTCCTCTCCCCTGCCGGCTCAGCGGAAGACGAGGTCTGTACTGCTGGGCACAGTGGTGTAGATCTCAGTCCATACAGTAAATCGTCCTGGCCCTGTTTGAGCCATGTTCTAGAATAGTCCTGGCCGGGTTCTGTGACTTCGGAAGTACTGACGCCCGCCCACCGCCGTGATGGAGGCTCTGGCAAACATGCATTCTGCTAAGCCCCTTTCTGGAGTGTTTTCTCAAGGTCCCCTGTCCCTCGGGAGGTTTGAGGTGGCCGCACAGGAAGCCTGAAAGATGGCAGCCGCTCATGAGAGCCCCGGAGCACTGGTTCCACGTGCCCACCTGGGCCGAGCCGCTCTGCACCCACCACGCTTGCCCAGTGGCCCGCCCCCTCCACCCCTCCCCGCCCGCTGAGATGCAGAGCACCCCAGGATGCAGGGGGGAAAGGAGGAAGGACGTGCCAGTTACTTTCTCAAACCTGCAGCTTGAGAGAGCCTGTCCAGTGAAGACCACCTGGTTTCGACTTTTGGCAGAATCCCTGTCTTTGGCTTGTATCTGGGGTCTGTTGTATCACTCTAGGGGAGTCAGCCCAGCCACACTGTCCTCTTGAGGACCTGGCCGGACGTTTTTCTAAGATGTCAGGCATAATTAAGCAACTTGGCAAATTTTTTTGTGTTTTTATCTTTGTGGCACACTATGACCAAAAAGACTTGACCTTTTTCAGCCAGATAACACTTTGAAATGAAAATGGAGACTCTGGGTTCTGACTCTCCTGCATTGTTCACCTCTTTCCAAGACTCTACTGTTGTGGCACCGATGTCTCCTTTATTCATTTGTTTTTTGCCTTTCCTGGTAACAATTTCTGTTCCCCTTGTATTCTTACGTGCTTAATTCCCTCCCTCCTCTCCTTGTAGTTTAGAGTACTTTAGAGTGTCATGTCCTTTAGAATATGAGGGGTAACTTAATTCTCTCCTGAGCGCTCTGTCTCGCCTCACATCCATGTGTGATAAGTCAACTTCTTTCTCTTTCTCCCATTGTCAGCTTTGGGGAAAATATGGGTCCGTCTCGTTGTCTGTTTTTACTCTCATTGGTTTTTTTTTTTTTTGAATCCTGTATTAAAATATCTCTAATATTCTTGCTTCCCTTCCCAAAACTTCCTGTAATACCAGCTTATTTTATTGCCTTCTTTTAAAATCCTCTCTCCTCCCCTGTTAATCCCCTTGCTTTCACAGAGCCTGATTTGAAAAAGCGGATCCGTGTGCACTTACTCAATGCCCATGGCCTGGACGAAGCCGGCATCGACGGTGGTGGGATTTTCAGAGAGTTTCTGAATGAGCTGCTCAAGTCAGGATTTAACCCCAACCAGGGGTTTTTCAAGACCACTAATGAGGGGCTCCTGTACCCCAGCCCGGCCGCTCAGATGCTCGTGGGAGATTCCTTCGCCAGACACTACTACTTCCTGGGCAGGATGCTTGGAAAGGTAAAGTAACTTTGTATGGACATGGACCTCAGACCACAGGATGTTGGAAGTTCTGCCTTTCTGTGTGGTTGCTCTGTGTCATTGAAGATGTTTACTCAGAATTGCTGAAGTAATTTTGGTGAACCCTGAACGGTATTCTTTTACATGACAACTAACACTTCGTTGTTACACGTTGCATGCACAGTAGTCACAGACATAAATCATTTGGGAAACCTGGGGGACATACATTATAAAACCCTGTTTGTCGAAGTCTCTGGGTGGATGTCTCCTGCCTCAGTGTGCACCCTGGAAATACTGTCAGTCTCCCCGTTGCTCTTGTCCATAGTGTTCAAGTGGTTCTTTTAAGGTTCTGTAAACGTGTAAAGTGCTACAGGGTGGAAGACCATAGTTGTTGGGTATGGGCTAAGTGTTCTGTATGTTGTATGCAGACTCTGTGAGAAATGGCCATTAAGGATGACGTGATCGGGGCGCCCGGGTGGCTCAGTCCATGAAGCGTCTGGCTTCGGCTCAGGTCATGATTCCGGAGCCCCGGGATTGAGGCCCGTGTCAGGCTCCCTGCTCGGCAGGGGTCTGCTTCTCCCTCTCCCTCTGCTCCTCCCCCTGCTCAGGCTCTCTCTGTTCACTCTCTCTCTCTCTCAAATAAGTAAATAAAATCTTCAAAAAAAAAAAAAGGATGACATGATAGAAATGCTCTAGTAACCGGAATCCTACACCCCTGCCGACCAGCTACACAAACTCCTGTAAATGAAAGGAAAAAATTGATGAATGGTGTGTGTAGCCTTGTGGAAGCGTCCTATTTAGTGGTGAAACTGATAAACTAGATCAGTCCTAGCCTGTTGTAGCCCCTTCAGGCGGCCATAACAGAACCCCACAGACCGGGCGGCTTATCAATCACAGACCTTTGTTCCTCACAGTTGCAGAGGCTGGAAGTTCTGGTCAGGATGCCACATGGTCTCACTTGCTGGGGGCCCTTCTCTCTGGGGTCGCTTTGATAAGAACGCCGATCACATTCCTGAGGGATCCACCCTCCTGACCTAATCACCTCCCAGAGGCCCTCCCCCTCCTAATGCCATCACCCGGGGGGGTTAGGACGTCAGCGTGTGAACTTTGTAGGACAGGCGGGGAACAGCAGGCCCAGGCCGCGAGACTCCATTTAAATCAGGGGTGGCTAACTGCTTCCCTATGGGTCAAATGCAGTCCAAAAAAGAGATTTAGTGGTTTTTTCTTTTTAATTAATTACTAACATTTTTAAATGGGGGAATATTTATGTGCAAGGTCGTATTTCTGGGTTACTTCGTTTTATTTTGTTTGCGTCTTTATACTTGAATTCCACGTCAGCAGTTGCCAATCCTAGCAGGATGCAGCTGGTAAATATCCCAATAACATCAGTAAGTGAGACTTAGGTCTAAACTGTTCTAGGGCGCCTGGGTGGCTCAGTTGGTTAAGCGACTGTCTTCTGCTCAGGTCATGATCCTGGAGTCCCGAGATCAAGTCTCGCATCGGGCTCCCTGCTCAGCGGGGAGTCTGCTTCTCCCTCTCCCTCTGCCTCTCGTGCTCTCTGTCTCTCATTCTCTCTCTCTCAAATAAATAAATAAAATCTTTAAAAAATAAAAAAATAAACTGTTCTGAATGAGGTGGGAAATCATCTAGGTCATTTCCCTGGGAAATGAAAAGTTGATTCTTGATTTTTCTTTGAATGATTCACTCCACTCATCATAACTCTGGGGTAGAGAAAACCTGATGCATGTGGGGCAGTGTGCCAGGATCCCCAAGTATTCAGACTCTTGTTAACCAATAGTCACTCTAGTGACAGTGACCCGGGTTTACCCCAGACTCACCTTCTGAATCAGAAGCCTGATACAACAGCCTGAGAGCTGAGGGGAGAGCTGGAGGGAGCGCAGGGCTCAGGGCCGGTGGTTTCCTGCTGGCCTGCCTCATCTGAAGGATGCACACCTTTCTGTCCTCCCCACCAGCGATGCTGGCTCCTCACGGGGGCTTCCGCCAGCCACCAGCTCCAGTTCAGAAGGTATCTTCCTTGTTTTCATTACTGGGGGTCTACCTCGCAGCATAGAATAAAGATGGAACATACCTGGATCTGTAAAGGGTCACAGCATATCCAGTAATAAGGTTATTATTAAATAAGGACGCCTGGGTGGCTCAGTCGATTGAGTGTCTGCCCTCGGCTCGGGTCGTGATCTCAGCATCCTGGGATCGAGCCCCATGTTGGGTTCTCCACTCAGCAGGGAGTCTGCTTCTCTCTCTCTCTCAAATAAATAAATAAAATCTTCTAAAAAGAATCGTTGATGTATTGTTATAGGAGTTAAATGTTTTCCATGGTATTTGGAGGAAGTTCATTAGGGTTTTTGGATAGTCTGGGAATGCATTTTGGTTTCCCCTATTTTTTTTTTTTTTTTTTAAGATTTTATTTATTTACTTGAGAGAGAGAATGATAGAGAGCATGAGAGGGGGAAGGGTCAGAGGGAGAAGCAGACCCCCCGCCGAGCAGGGAGCCCGATGCAGGACTCGATCCCGGGACTCCAGGATCATGACCTGAGCCGAAGGCAGTCGCTTAACCAACTGAGCCACCCAGGCGCCCTGGTTTCCCCTATTTAAGAGTGGGTTAGGAATGCCTGATACTCAATATTTACTGTCCAAAGCATTTTGAGGGACAGATTGGATTATAACACAAGAATCATAGCTGGTGCAGCTTCTGCAGGTCAAAGGTATGACTGAAGGTGACACTCTGGAACTGAGGGCAGCGAGCTACAGCCTCTGGCCTCCTATTCTTTGTAGTTAAAAACAAAAAAAAGTTAGAATTCCAGCAGGTATCATCATTTACATTGTCTGGTTGCTTTCCCTACAGCGACAGTTGAACAAAGCCCAAATAAAGGCTATGCTCTGGGGCCCTTTCCAGGACAGTTTGCTGACTCTGCTGTAGGGTTAAGCCAACAGACAAATCGTAAAGAACCTTTGTGTCGCATGGTCTCCATCCTATGGGTCATGGAAAATCATTGGTTTGAGCAAGGGCTGAGACTTCCTACATTTGTAAGGAGACAACATGGGGCGAATGGATTTTAGAGGGTGAGACTCAAGAATTAAAGAGTTTAAGGGTCTGGGACACTGGCCTGTGAGGTCAGCAGGGACTAAGAGTGACCACGGGATGTGTCCGCAAGTCTTTATTTCTCTGGCGCGTTTTCTTAGAACTGCTTTATTGAGAGATGGTTCACATACCTGCAGTTTGCCCACTTGATGTGCGTGCGATTCAGGGCGCCTGACTGGCTCAGTCGGTGGAGCGTGCAACCCTTGATCTTGGGGTCATGAGTTTGAGATCACTTGAGTGAATGAACGAATGAATGAATGAATGTTTCTCAAGTGTACGGTTCAATAGTTCCAGTGTAGTCAGAGTTGTGCAGCCGTCACCACCAACACATTTGGAACATTCATCTCCTGCGTCTGTTAACAGCTCTCCTTTCCCCTCCCCAGGCCCTAGGCAAGCGCTAACTTACCTTTAGTCTCCATAGAGTGTCCTGTTCTGGACGTTTCGTATAATCGCACCAGACCTACGTGGCCTTTAGTGACTGGCTTCCTTCACCTGGAGTCATGTGTCCAAGGATCACCAGAGGTATGGTCTGTGTCAGCACTTCGCTCTGGTATTGCCAAATCATGTTCCTTCTGTGACAACCACATTCATTGTCCATTCATCAGCTGATGGGTGTGGGGTTGTCCCCGGTGATGTTTTTAGTGGAGTGGTTTGATAAAAATGAGTTTGCTGGGGCTGAAGAAGAGCAAAGGCATAAGAGCAGAAAAGAGTGTCGGTGACCTTTTCAGAAGGCTTCACTCTGAAGGGAAGGAGAGAAGATCCCCAAAGAAAGAACATGTTCCAGAAAAGAATGGGTGGGTTGGTTTTCAAAGATAGGGTAGCTTTGTGCAGGTAAGATGTCGATGAAGAGCCAGGTGAGAGGGATGGCTTAGCAAGCTGGGAAGACACAGCCAGGGACTGGCGAGCCGCCATGCTCCACGAGAACTGTCTGCGTGGCCTGGCGTCTAGCTGGCACGGGGCTGGTTCAGGGAATCACATGCACGATGCAGGTCTCGATCGGTTTGGTGGCTGGTGACTGCAGTGTGGAGCAGCTCTGAAGCCCAGATGGAGGCATTGGCTTCAGGTGTCCTGAGCAAGGAAGGTGGGCCAGGGGTGGTCTCTGTGTGGACTGGGTGAGTAAGGAAGGTCAGAAGGGGAGCTCTTGCTGGCGTGGGTGCCTGGCTGATGGAAGGAGGAAAGCCAGCCTGAGGAGTCGGCCCTCGGCGCTTTGGCATCCAGACAGACTGAGGGAGTGGCCATGGGGGAGGAAGATCAAAGAAGACGGGGTGTTAGAAGGGAAGGAAGTGTATCAAGGTCAAGCGGTGAACAGTGACCCCCTGCTACGAGGTTGGGAGGGTGGGGACCGTGAGCGACACCGTGGTGCCCACCACAGTGACGTCAAGCCAAGGGGTAAATGGAATGCGTGCTATTCACGGACTCAGTATGTAGGAATTGCAATTAATGAGTATCATCCTTAAGTAAGTAATTAAGGAGTTAATGTTGCTATCGTCATTGTTTTCTGTGAGAATTAATCAGAACTATCATCATTTTCAGCTGTATAGTAAAATTTCTTATAGCTCAGATTTGTAGCTCTCTGTTCTCTACCTCTGAAACAGACCTGCCATTGTTCACCTTGGAGTTGCCCATTTGAGAAGCAACGTACAAATCAGTGTCTGCAAAGCAGATCATGCTCTGACTTTTAAAAAAATAAATGAATAGATTGATAGATAACAGCTTTTTTGAAATATAATTCACATTCCATAAAATTCAGCCTTTTAAGTGTACCGTTTGGTGGTTTTTAACATGTTCACGGAGGTGTGCAGCCATCACTGCTTTTACTTTCAGGACGGTTGCGTCACCCTGGACAGGAGAACTCTTTGCACATTAGCAGCTGTTCCCCTCCAGCCCACCCCTGCCAGCC